CCCCAAAACCCCAAAACCCCAAAACCCCTTGATGACTATAAAATGAATTGCTGCATGATATTTTAAGTAAATTATTTTAATTCAAAATTAGTTTTCATTAAATAATAGTTCTTGAAGCTCCCTTGAGTTCTTAACTTCAGAGTATTCAACTTTTCTATCAAAGTAGAGTTTGTCCTCTATTCTACAAAATTCCAGATACTGATTCTTAAGATCAGCCATATTGAATTCTAGTTTTGCAAATTCAACTAAATATGACCTTTCTTTATCTATCAACTCCTTGATCTCACCTTGAATTTCTCCAATATCAATATTTAGTTTGAGCAAAGAATCCATTCCCTGGGTCAAATTTATTACTTTAAGAAGGTTCGGAAGGTAACCAACATTTGTCTTGTAAACCAACATTACTAAAGATTTGATATAATCATATGGATGAAGATTCACTTTATCATCTATAGATTAATCCAAAACACCCCTCTCGTATTTTTCAATTTACTAAATAGGGAAAGTTTCCTCTGATAATTCCCCAATAAGATTATCGAAATCCTCAGAAAATTATACAATAAATTTCTCACATTCTTGAATATAGCTGTTATTGCTGCTTTTATTATCCTCTCTTATTATTGCTCTTCTTTTTTCTCTGCTAGTTTCGATTTCAACTTTCAATCTATTGAAAAGAATTCTAAAAATATTATGGACAAAGCTCCATTCTTATTCTCTAAGTACTGGATTTTCAATTTATTTAAAAGTTTAAGGTAGAATAAGAGTTTTTCTTTTGAGATTTATGCACATATCATCATAGATTTTTTTCTCTGGGAATATCTCAATAATTAAACTTTACTAAAATTCTATATTTTATTCGAAATCAGCCTGTTACTATTAATGCTTTTCTTATTCAGTGAGCAGAGATCTCTTAAGTTCATTAAGCTCATGTATCTATGAAAAACTGAATATTTCTATACATTTATCAAAGATCACATTAAGCTTTTTTTAAGTGAATCCAAAGAATATAAAGCGACCAAGTGATAAAATAGGAATGAACAGTGCCAGACTTATTATCTCTTAGACAAGTATGAAAAATTTAATGTTGCCGAGATCATCCTGCATCTCCTTTGAGTAAATATAATTTGCATTGATTGAATTCAAAATCAGCAAAGCTTTAAGTATCTTGATTATCTCAACAAAGACTCTGATTATGCTAAAGATCTTAAAACCTTTTTGATACTTATTGAATATGCAAAAATTAGCATAAAATGAGGTGAATACTATCATAAAAAAGAATAAAACATCTATCCAGACAAAAGGAGAGAGGTCTGCTCTAAAATAAGTAAAATAAACAGTTGTAGCAAAATAGAACAGATTCAATACCAAATCAACTATAACAAGTGAGATCAAAAGGGTGAAGAACTTGTAGATTTCTAAAAAATAAGTGTTAAAATTTTGATGATTGTTGGTTACTTACTCCAAAGTGCTTGCTTATCTCCTAGCTTACTTAAAGCTCTTAAGTATAACTAATGAGAAACAGGCTTAGTCAAGAAATAGAAAGTTAGCATTATTATGACGCACAAAAAAATATCAATGATTGCGAGGTTTTACCATTCCTTTTAATGAGTACTATCCACAGCATGAATTGGTGTAATGAAATAATCTGGATATAGATAGAATAATGTATCCCTGAATATCTGGTAAGAGTTGGATATAATCGAGAGGATCATAAAAGTGTAAAGATCAACAGGACTCGTGCATTTAAACGCTCTGGCTAAGAAATATATCATTGCAAATAAAAGTAAGAGCATAGTGAATATCTTGAAGTACTAGTATTCTTGGACATCATAACCATCAGAGTAGAATATGAGGATGTTGAAACTGAGAAATTGCAGTATTTGTATAGTTGTTGTGGCAATAAAGCACACTGTGCCATTTTTCTCAATCTATGTGTCTATCGTGTCCTTCACATTCATTTTATAAATTAATAAGCAAGCATAGAATTTCACTCTTATCTAAACTGAAATGCCTGGGGTTTTGGGGTTTTGGGGTTTTGGGG